TGTACAAAAATATATTCGTTACGATCGCTTTTTCCGCTCAATTTTCCTGATATATCTATATCAGGGGTGCCCAACCTCAGCATACGGCAGAGCAAACTTGAACCAGTGCAAACAATCACCAATACATTTGCACCATTTTTTTTTCATGTCAATGCACTGAAAAATAATGTTATAGTAACATTTACAAGTGGTTTTGAATAAATATAATGGTTTCAATTAACTCTTCTACACCGCTGTAGAAGAGTTAACCGCCCATATCCAGGCGGCAGCTTCTGAAGCAGCACCAAGGCCCTTCAACCGACCAAGAGCCACTGACAGGGACATCCACTTTTGAAGCCCAGAAGTCGGAGGACTCAAAATTGAAGAGCGACGACTCCAGAAAGTGCGGATGCTCTCGAGGAATCCGCTGGACAAAACCGCCTTCAATAGAGCGTCCAAATGTCTTTCAGTCACGCTGAAAAGACTAAGAAAGCAGGCCTTTGGCGGGTTCGTCGAACAACTCGAACCAGGCGACCCTCAACATAACTTATGGCGAGTCACCAAATTTATCAGACGGCCACTGAAAAGGATCCCATCTGTATAAAGAACCGACGGCAACTGGTGCAGATCGGAGATGGACAGGGCTAACGCTTTCGCCGAACACCTCGAAGGTGTCTTTACGCCTTTCGATCGCTGTTCACCGGAGGATGGTGCTGAAACTGCCCGTCTGCTAGCCGAGCCTTCCAGGGACGCCGATCCAATACGACCAGCGACTGAGGAGGAAACAGCTGAGCTCATAACCATCATGAGCAACAACAAGGCCCCGGGCGATGATGGTATCAATGCAATTGCATTAAAAATGTTACCACATCCAAGCATTTAGCTAATTACATTGATCTATAATAGATGCTTGGAAATAGGGTACTTTCCATCCACATGGAAACGTGCCCAGGTAACTATGATACCTAAGCCCGCGAAACCCGAAGCGAACCTTTTGTCCTACCGACCAATAAGTTTGTTACCAATGCTCTCCAAAATACTTGAACGAGTGTTCTTAAGCAGAGCACTGCCAGTATTTGACGAGGCTGGACTGATCCCTGACCACCAGTGTGGCTTCAGTCGGCAACACGGTACCCCAAAGAAGTGCCATTGAAACCAAGAAGTACTGCATGGCCGTCATGCTGGACGTGAAGCAGGCGTTCGACCCAGTCTGGCATCCCGGTCTACTATATAAATTAAAGACTGGCCTACCCCGACCATACTTCCAGTTCCTAAAGTCGTTCTTGGAAGACCGTAAATTTGCTGTTAGATGTGGCGAGGCCATCTCCGGTATAAGAGAAGCTCACGCTGGTGTACCCCAAGGCAGCGTTCTTGGCCCGTTGATGTACAATGCTTACACGGCCGACCTCCCTGTTCTCCAGAGGCCGACACCGCCCTCCTTATCACCGCCGATCCTTACCAAATACCAAAAACCATTTCCGGTCGTTCAGTTATATGCCAGCTCTTGGATATAGTCGGCCGATCATGATGAAATTTGGTACGTCATGCTATTTTGCCAAAAATAGCATTTATAAAAAATCTCCGAACTCTCAAACTCTAAAAACAATCTAAAAACAGCTATAGGATAGATTCAGCCAGAAAGAAAGGTCTTTCTTTTGGTAAGAAATGACGCCTATAGTCAAGTTTCCCGACTATATTATACCCGATACTCATCTTTTTCACCCACAATTTAAAAAACCTTTGAAATTTATGTTTTAGGGGGAGGTTCTTCTGGATTTTTTTGAAAAAATCTATTTTTTTTTTTTTTTTTTTTTTTTTTTTTTTTTTATTAAAATGAAAGTTAAATTTGTGTAGAATATACGTGCCAAGGGATATTTCGAAGCGACGAGTATTTCTTGAGCTAGAGAAAGCTATCTAAGAAAGCTATCTAAAGGCAAAGTTTCTAAAAACTTTAAATATGTTTTTCTCGGAACCATGTTTTCAAACCTCTTGTCGCGCACAGGGCTCGTTCTATTGATCCGATTTGCTTCATTCAAAAAATGTTTAAAAGTACACACTTTTTTGTATGCCTTATACCTAAAATTGGCATACAAAATTGTTTATGTATAATTTTTAAACGAGATTTAAGTAAAAAAAAAAAAAAAGGAAAATATGTCAATTTTTTTTTTAAACGTCCATGAAATTGGTTTATTTTTACCAAAATTAATTGTTGTTAGGTATAAGGCATAGGAAATTCCATCAATTTTAATAAATTATATACATTTCTAATTTAAGTTCACTACCAGCGGCCCTACACTCGACAAAGCAGAAAAATAGAGCTCTACAAGATCCGCCATTTTGAAGCCGCCATTTTGAATTTCCTGAATATTGAAAATTTTTTTTAATCGTTAATAAACAACGAATCTAAAGTTCAAAAGCATAAGTTCGTATGTCTTTTCATTTTCCCGCAATCCATTCTCAAAGTTTGCTTAATTTTCGGAAAAATCCAAAAGAACCTCCCCTTAAGGGTATGGATTCTCAGGAACAAATTTTTGTTGCATACTTTCGGAAAAACAACAACAACAACAATAGCAAAACAACAACAAACACACAAAACTAAATTTAAAAATGGTTCCAAAATTTTAGCCCGTTTTTATGGGAAATTGTACATACAATACATACATATTTAGATATATCTCCTCTAAAAATGGCCCGATTTGAAATTTGTTTTTCAAATATATATTAGCTATAGAAATCAAAAGTTTTTCAAAAAACCTTTCTGTAATGGCGCTACAGAAATTCGCAATTTCCAAAAAAGAAAAGAGACGGGAGGGGGCGTGGAAAAAATGTAAAACAAACTTGAACTGCAGGGGCATTGTCGGAATCTCCACGCAAAGTCCTCTATCGGTTATAGTCTCTGAGATCCACGCGTTCGGACGGACACGTGAACATGACTATATCGAAATATATGGAAAATTGTACATACAATACATACATATGTAGATATATCTCCTCTAAAAATGGCCCGATTTGAAATTTGTTTTTCAAATATATATTAGCTATAGAAATCAAAAGTTTTTCAAAAAACCTTTCTGTAATGGCGCTACAGAAATTCGCAATTTCCAAAAAAGAAAAGAGACGGGAGGGGGCGTGGAAAAAATTTAAAACAAACTTGAACTGCAGGGGCATTGTCGGAATCTCCACGCAAAGTCCTCTATCGGTTATAGTCTCTGAGATCCACGCGTTCGGACGGACACGTGAACATGACTATATCGACTCGGCTGCACCTTTTTCGGATACCTTTTGCTCGTGTTATTTACTGACCCTTTTATCAAGAGCAAGCTCCGAAAGTGTCTTTTGCGTATATATGCGTGACATTGAGTGTGGTGCACGATGTGCGACGATCTTCGAACGTCACTAGACTATGAATTTTGCCTACGAATTGTATTTTTTTGACCATATAAAATTAAAATCACCGCATTTGGGTTTGCTGGCTCAGGTCGTGATGGCTACACCGGAAACACAGGTGTCTGTGGAAAGAGGCGTTACAGCGCTTAATTATATTAATTCTCTATTAATTGTCAAGCTAAATTGTAAATAATAATTAATGTTAATAAAAATAACAATTATCAAAAAAATGTAAAAATTATAAATTATTTACATTATAAAATGTAAATTAAAATCTGTGGGTGTGTTAGGGATCAGCGAAAGCAAAAATGAAAATGGCATAGTAGCTGAATAGATAGACAGGCTGTACAAAAATGGATATTTGCTAATGTATGTATCATACAAATATACATACATATATAAAAATACACTAATAAATCATCTTTCGTTCATCTTACGCTCATATCCTCATTGAATGTTTTCTGTTTTTCAGTCTCTGAAAGGAGCACCATGAAGAAAGTTGGTCTGCGCTTTTATTGATCTTTATGTGTGTCACACATTGAAATACACGAGGGCATGTGTGCGCCCCAGTGCAATATATGAAATTTGACCATTTTTTCAGGCCAAAAAACATTTTTTGAAAGTTAAATGATTTAAATAATTTTAACTGCATATCCTTCACAATAGATTAGTTTTTAATGTTGCATACCAGAAATTTTCATAGATGGCGCCACTGCGAAGAAATCAGCTCAACTGACCAAAACTAGAATCTGTACTAGGTTTCTGCTTTTTATCTTCAAAAACACGAAAGTAGCGTCATTTTCGATCGTTCAGTTATATGGCAGCTATAGGATATAGTCGGCCAATCCGGGCCGTCCGATCCGACTTATATCCTGCGTGCAAAGGAATAAAGGGTGCGTGCAGAGTTTCAAGACGATAGCTTCAAAACTGAGAGACTAGTTCGCGTAGAAACGGACAGACGGACAGACGGACATGCTCATATCAACTCAGGAGGTGATCCTGATCAAGAATATATATACTTTATAGGGTCGGAGACGTCTCCTTCACTACGTTGCGTACTTTTGACCAAAATTATGTTACCCTCTGCAAGGGACTATGTGGAATTTGACACGTTTCAGTGGCCAAAATATAATTTTTTAAACTAAAAAGGTATGGTACAGTGATGGTTATTACTAGAGGAAAGTATTTTGAAAAGTGAGCGTTTAAACCCACCACAAAAATCGGAAAACAACAAATATTTAAAGCAATTTTCATGTTCAGCAATTTTTGACCTATTTCAAATGTGTCTGCCAATTTGGTCCAGATTGGAAAATAAAGTAATTGAAGAAGAAAACAATATTTTTTTTGTATTAATCTGTGTATTCATTTTAAACTTCGTCATTGTCATCAATATATATTGTCGTCTTCCCTAATATCATGTCAATATCATTTAGACTCAAAAGTTTCTCGAAAAAGCTCTTTTGCTTACGCCACACTTCTAGCAGTTCTGCATTGCTGATCAAGATGATTGCTTCCTAATAATTCAAATAACGCAAAAAACAGAAAAAATCGCACAAAAATTCTATTATTTTGCAATCATATTAATCATTTTGTATTCATATTATTTTGTAAAATTTGTGGTGATAAATTCTTACTTTGGATTAGGTTTTGTTTTTCCATTCTTTTTTGCGTGATAACGTAACCACTATTTGTTAAAACATTTGGCAGGATGACATTCTGCATTTCTTCAACATCTTGACCTCGTGCTATTGATGGGTTCACCATTTGATAGGTATCGTTCTGAGGATGCTGGTGGTTAGTTTGAGAGCCCAATTGTTGTAGCAACTTTTTAAAAGCCTCTGCATCTCTTGAACCTGATTTCTTCGCATGCTCTGTTGGAGGCATAGGAGTTGATATTTGACACGAATACTCAGTACTCATATCAAGCTTAGTCATTTGAGCTTCCAAGTCTTTGACATTTGGAATACCTAAAATAAAAAGGAACATTCATTCATATTTTGTGGCCTAAGTCGCAAAGATGTTATTAATGAAACTTACCCAGCATATCTTGAAAATGTGGCTCTTGAATAGATGCATCATTATTATTTTTATTTTCTTTGTGTCGAAACCAATGGCTGAAGCGAGATGTTCCTTTTGTTTCTCCCTTTTCATTGCCGTCATTATTCTGTATTAATTATATACAACATATTTTTATATATTTTAAACTATAAAATTTAATAAAATAAGAAGTTTAATAAGAGAAATAAAGTTTTAATTTCACAAGGACAAAAAAAAACAGCAGAGCCGAAGTTTATATACCCTTGCAGTTAAAACCGGATATATATCGCAAACATCGGATATAGTTGGCCGATCCTTATGGGAATAGGAATATATAATCCAATTTATTACAATACAAAATCTAAAAAAAGTCCCAAACTTCTATCTTCAAAAATACGAAAGTTGATATTTCTACCAAATACCATTTCCGATCGTTCAGTTATATGGCAGCTATGGGATATAGTCGGCCGATCCTAATGAAATTTGATAGGTTGGATCAACTGACCAAAAATATAATCTGTATTAAATTCCAGCTTTCTATCTTCAAAACACGAAAGTTGGGTCATTTCCGATCGTTCAGTCATATGGCAGCTATAGGATATAGTCGGCCGATCCGGGCCGATCCGGGCCGTTCCGACTTATATACTGCGTGCAAAGGAAAGAAGGGTGTGTGCAAAGTTTCAAGACGATAGCTTTAAAACTGAGAGACTAGTTCGCGTAGAAATAGACAGACGGACAGACGGACATGCTCATATCAACTCAGGAGGTGATCCTGATCAAGAATATATATACTTTATAGGGTCGGAGATGTCTCCTTCACTGCGTTGCACACTTTTGACCAAAATTATAATACCCTCTGCAAGGGTATAAAAATATAGTTCACCTTCGACAGTCTAACCGATCGGTCGTGTTCTTCCGCGAGACGTCTACGTAGCGCAGCTTCAAAACAACAACACAAGCACAAAGCAAACGAAATCTTATCTCTACTCCAACTGGAGCGACGGACAATTTTGGCAGAATTTAAGTGGACTTAAAGTTTGTTGACCCCACAATGCTGGACCCTCCAGATATCTGTAGAAAACACCCTCCAGACGGTATATATTTGGTTGCAACCAGAACGGACGAAGATTCCCAGCCCCTGGCTGCAATCTGCCCGTTCATTATTAAGAAGACAATCGACAATACTATTCAAGGTGAAGTTTCAAGTTGTAAGAAAACCAAAGACGGCAATTTACTGATTAAGACTAAAAACTTATTACAAGCCGAAAAACTTAAGAAACTCGTCAGTATGCTTTCCAACACTCCATATGTCGATGTCCCCATTAAAATATCTGAACACCGAAGTCTTAACTCGAGTATTGGGATAATATATTCGAACGATTTGCGAGGAATTGATGAAAAAGTCATCTTGGACAACCTAAAGTCGCAAAAAGTTGAAAGAGTCGAGAAAATATATAAATATATTCCCAACCAGGTTCTCAATAAAACTCCACAAAACGAAACGGGTCTAATAAAAATCTCATTTAAGCTAACCCATCTGCCAGACTTTCTCTATATTGGCTATGAGAGAGTTGAAGTGCGTACATTTATACCGCGTCCTATGCGTTGCAACAACTGCTTTAGGTTTGGTCATACCGCGAAATTCTGCAAAAACACACCAACATGCGCCAACTGTGGTCTCGATGCCCACGTTAACTATGAGAACTCAGAAATTTGCCAAAACAAGCCGAATTGCATAAATTGCTCCCTTAAAAACTCCCAACATCTGACCACCATGCCCGCAACAAGGACTGCCCTGTCTTCCTGTCGAACAAGGAAGTCCAGGCCATTAGGACTCTACATAAAGTTGACAATAGGACAGCCTGGTCCATATACAACAGAAGACACCACGATGGATCTCTCTACTCGTCAGCAGCCAAATCCAATCTAGCCAACTCAAACCAAACGTCAACAAGGAAAACAATAAGCTATGCCCCAAATGAATTTGAAACACCAACATCCAGGAACCTCGACCCAGACCCAGACGAACCTATGTCATCCAGCTCGGAAACTCCCTGCACTTCCCTCACCGGCAAAAATCCTTCCGCTTAACACAACAAATAGAACCAAAAGGCTTTTTAAAAATGATCAGAGCGCAATTATCACCATATCTAAACTTAAATCCCTTGCCTCAATTGAAACTAAAACAGCACAGTAACAATCATAATGACCCTAAAACTTACCTGAATGGATACCTGAACAATTACAACGAACTGCAAGTCCTGATTAAACGCTTTACTCCAAAAATCATTTCACTTCAAGAAACCCACATAACGTACACCCAACCAATCCCTATTCCAGTTAACTACAATATTTACTACACAGCCTCGCACAGCCCGGATGGCGGCGCGGCAATTTTAATTCACAAATCTATACAGCACAAATCCATCCCTCTTTAGAGCACAGTTGATTCCATTGCATTGGAATTTCAGTCTGTAAAAAAAATTAATATAATAGCATCCTATATACCTCCTAACAAAAAATTCAACCAAATAGATCTCCATTTAATTTTACCACCAGGAAACTCCCAAAATCTAATTACAGGAGACTTCAACAGCTGGAATACCAGCTGGGGATCCCCAACAATTAATCTGAGGGGAAGAATATTAGGAAAATTCATTCTGGATAACAACTTTATTATCCTTAACAACGGACAACCCACGCATTTCTCAACACATAGGACCTTTACACATATTGACTTGGCATTGTGTTCACCTGAACTTAAAGTATATTGCGACTTCAAAATCAGTGACTCCCTCCAAGGAAGCGATCACTTCCCAATCACCATCGAAATTTTCCCGAAAAATCAGAGAGCAAGTCAAAACTTTGTACAACGATTCGTTACTAGCAGAGCTGATTGGGAAAAATTCGAGATGCTAACTGAAGACCTGAACAATAAAATACCAATGTCACTAAACATTAATCAGGAAGCAGGGAATATCAAGAAAATTATTTTGCAAAGTGCATACAAGAGCATTCCACACACGAGACCACCTAACACCCACCACAATGTTCCTTGGTGGAACAAAAAACTGGAAGGTCTGAAAAAGGAAAAATTTAAAGCCCGGAGAACATTCAATAGAGATATGTCCAACGACAACCTCATCCATTATAAAAAAAATGAACGCAACATTCAGGAGGGAATTAAAATTGAGTAAAGCCAACAGCCTATTTAAATTGACTTCGGCAATCCTCAGTCCAAACCGAAAGCAATTTGGAATAATAGAAAAAAGCTCTGTGGACAACAGCAGTAGCGATTTGCTCACCAGCTCCGAAGATATTTCTGAAGCCTTCGCAAGCTATTGGTCACTCCGTTCAGAAGACTCCCAATTCTTCAACCTTTACATTGAATAAAAAAATAATCTAAATACGCCAAAACTTTTTATCTCCCCCACACAAAACTGCAGCGTTCATGGAACAGGATATAAACTTCCTAGAGTTCTCATCGGCACTAAATAACTTAAAGGGTCACACCCCAGGTCAAGATAAGATTAACTATGACATGATACGACACGTCGCTGAATCACTGAAAATGAGAATTATCCGCTTTTTCAACAACATTTTAAAATCTTTTATTCCTCAATCGTACAAATAAGCACAATTATACCTTTCCACAAACAAGGTGCAGACAATACCATGACGGAATCATATAGACCTAACTCCCACAACCCATGTTTATCTAAAACACTTGACAAAATAATCTCAAAACGGCTATGGTGGTTTGCTACAACCAACAAGCTACTGAACAGCCGTCAACTCGGATTTAAAAAAGGGAAATCTGCAATGGATTCTGCAGACGCTCTAATTAGCAGAGCCCTCTCTGAAAAAAGACACATATCCATTATATCTCTTGACTTCGCAACAGGATTTGAAAAAATAGGATTGCATACCATCACAAATCATGGGGCTGCGGCCCATTAATTATTAAATACGTGATGAACTTCATGTCAAAAAGGAAAATAAGAGTTCGTGCCAATGATAACCCCTCAAGGACACACCCACTCCATAATGGCATTCCGCAGGGATCTCCCCTTTCGGTAGTACTTTTTCTCATTGCGTTTAACAGTCTCTCAGATATAATCGACAAGCACAAGGAACTTAAACACACAGCTTATGCGGACGATTTTAACATCTAATACATCATCGATTAATACCATTGAAAAAAGAAAAAAACATTTCAATCAACTTCGACATGCTGTTTACTGAAATCAATGAATGGTGCCAAAAATCCGGTGCAATGCTTTCAATTTCAAAATGCAAACACATCCACATTTGCTGGAAAAAACAATGTTCATGCCAGGTCTCTACACAATCCGCAATTATAAACACAGTTAACGAACTAACTATTCTAGGTCTGTCCTTCAACACAAAATACAAATTCAAACCCCACTTCAAAAAATTACACAAATCACTACAGAAATCATCAAATATAATAAAATGCCTTAAGTAAATAACAAAAAATGTAACTACGAAAAACAAAAAATAAAATAAATGAGCCAGCCGAAAGCCTTAGTAGCTATGGCTGCAACGCCCCCCCCTGTAGCTTTAGTTTTAACTTTAAGCTAACAGAATGTAAATAAATAAATAAATAATAAAATGCCTTTCCAGCGGAAAATACAACAGCCACCCCAATACCCTTGTTCAAATCTTCAAAAGCCTATGTATTTCCAAAATTGATTACGCTTTACCGATATACGGTAACTCCTCTAAGTCACTTATAAAACCAATTAAAACGCTAATTAACTCAATCTTGCGAACATCTCTGGGAGCCTTCTGCTCTACACCCACTTTCAATCTATACCTGGAATCTAACATCGAACCATTAGAAATCAAAATCGAACACTTACAAATAAAAACAATTAACACTATCATGCACGCAAACGACACACCTCTAAGAAAAATTATCCAACGGATAACCAAAAATAACACAAAAAAATATCGAACCTCAACGGTCGACCGCTGCATTTCCCTAAGTCTAAAGCTAGAACTTCCAACCTCTCTTCCTCATAAGCCTAAACCGATATTACCGCCCTGGTTTCTATATATCAATCTAATAGATACCCGACTAAGCCGACTAAAAAAATTTGA